CCGGGGCTATGCTGAGAGGCTGGGCTGGGAATAGAAATGATTTGTGGCCCCTGCCCTGTCAAGTCCACATGAGTGGCAGCCTCAGGGTCAGGCAGCAGAAGGGAAAGACAAGGGGGTAGATGCACTCGTAGACACAGTACTGGCACAGAAGCACTGGCCACCCAGGTTGGAATAGGCCTGCCTCAAAAGTCACAGAAGCTGAACCAGAATGTCCTCCTTGACTCTTCTGCTCCTCATTTGTCCAGCCCCTGCTCACACCTCTGATGGTGGAGAGCTCACTATCTTTCTAAGATAAAGCTTCCATTCTTGGCCCAGCCTGGCTGCTTCTGAAAGCTGTATGTTGCATTCAGCCATAATCTGCCTCCTGCAGCTTCCTTTAACCAGCCCCAGCTCTTCCTCCAGAGGCCACAGAGATCTTACCTGTTGCTGCAGAACAGTTCATCTGAGACTTGGACATAGTGGCCGTATCCCCGAGTCTGGTCTTGGAGGCAGACATCCTAGGAAGAACTCTAGAATCTCTATACTGAAAGGGCCTTTGCCAATCCACCAGCCTAACAATATTCTAGTTTGTTTGTCTTTGCTCCAGAGCTCTACTCAGAGCTTTCTATGGAAGCCCAAAATACCAAACAAAAGTATCCTTGACTGAGGAAACTAGCGGTCCCTCCTCTTACCCTCTTTACTAATTGTGAACTCTCTAAAGGAATGTGACTGATCCACTCTACCAAGGAGCACTTACTGAGCACCTACTATGTGCCAAGCACTTGTATTAGAGCTGTGTTGTCCAACACAGCAGCCACTAGTCCTATGTAGCTACTGCGCACTTGAAATGTGGCCAGTACAATCGAGAAACTGAATTTTTTATTTGATTTGATTTTAATTTTAATTTTAAAATAGAAGCAGTATAAAATATTTTTCCCACTAAACACAGCTTTATTGTTTTGGTAGGACTACATCTAACTTTAACTGTCAAACGTTTAGCATCCAAATTGAGATGTACTACATGTGTAAAATACACACCAGATTTCAAAAACTTGGCAGCAAAAATAAGAGAAAATATAGTATCAAATTTTTTATATTGATGACATGTTGAAATGATATTTGGGATATACTGGATTAAATAAAATATATTATTAAAATTAATTCCACTTGTTTCTTTTTATTCTTTTTAATGTAGTTACTACATCATTTAAAATTACACATGTGGCTTGCATTCTCCTTCTGTTGGATAGTGCGGGGCTAGTCACTTTCACGTTACCTTTTTATCTGAAACACTCAGCAGAGTGAATGTTTCTTGAGTATCTAAGACGCATAGCTCAAAACTATCTCCCTAAATGCTTCTAGACTAAATGTTCCAAAGCCTCTGACCACATTTAAGCCACCCACCTCTCTCTACCTCTCTTCCTTTCCAAATCCTGCTGTGCTGGTCCTCTCCCTGCACATGCTCACCAGAGTCCCAGACTTGGCACAATCTCTCTTGCTTTTGATTGGAATGCCCTCTCCTCCCTCTACCCAGCTCTCAAATGCCACCTCCTATGAGGAGCCCCCCAGATCCTTTTGGTCAAAACTGGCCTTCCCTGCCTTATTCTTTCCCCCAGTGTCACCTCACCCGCTGCCCTAATCATCAGAGGAATTTGAGCTTGTCAGTCTTGCTCACCAGCTCACCCTCTGTGTTTGGATCCTATCACCCGTTCACCTCTGCTGAGATCTGGGCAGGAAGGTGGCCCCAGGAAATGTCCTCAGGACAAAACTCAAGTCTAAGCTGGGGATGACTGTGTACCAGGCAGCAGAGTAAGCAACTCCACCTTGCAAAGACTCAGTCACCTCATCTGAAAAATGGGCAAGGACCCTCAGCTGTCTTCCTCTTAGCTCACCATTGCCTCTCTTACCCCATGATTCTTCTCTCAGGCTGCTGATGGTACCGCTCTGGAGGCCAGTACCCCACAAATCCATGGTTTGCAGCCTCTGTGGGCCAGCCAGCCAGTGTGCCTGAAATGTCCCTGTTTCCCCAGTGGCTGCTTCTTACGTTCTCTGCTCTCCTCCAACCTCTGGCCTTCAGGTCTCACTTCTCTCTCCGCATCCAACCTGCTAATCATGCCCTTCTGACTGAAACTCTTCCCCACACCGGCCCCAGCTCTGCCCAGCCCCAGGCTGCTCTGCCTCCAAAGGGCATCTCTGAAAAGGCTGAGGGGCAACAGGTAGCTGGAAAATACTAGGGAACTGAGGCCTTAGGCGCACTCCAGCTCCTCCCGACTCCCCAGTCCATGTCAGCTGTATGGCTGTGTAGCCTCCATCACTTCCCCTAGTAAAATGGAAGTGACAGTCTCTGCCTCTTTACCTCCCTCTAGAGCCACTGCAGAGATCCAGAAAGATAGAGAGAAAGGATAGGAAAGATCAGAAGCAGGCACTTATGCAATACCCTGACAGACACTTCCCTGCCGTGAGCCTGGCCATTGCTGCCCACCCCGGGATCAAACGTACACACTCTCAGTGGTGTGGGGCAGGAGTGAGGGGGAGGCTCTGGTTGCTTGGGTTTGTCCCCCACTCTTTCCACTCCTATAAGCTTCCAGGACCATCAAGTCATTCTCCCTTCTACCACAGACCACCGCCGACTGGACTATCCCCAAGTCTTCATGAGGATCAGGACTCGACCATATATATCAGAACTGGAAAGATTTCAAAGATCACCCAGGCTGGGAACAGTGGCTCATGCCTGTAATCCCAACACTTTGGGAGGCCTAGGCAGGCAGATCACTTGCGGTCAGGAGTTCAAGACCAGCCCGGGCAACATAGCAAAACCCCGTGTCTATTTATTAAGAAAAAAATTTCAATTAAAAAATAAAAAAGATCATCCAATACCACATCTGATTCTTGATACTCTGTATGGCAGCCTGACAAGTGGCCACTTAGTCTCTGCTTACATATCCCCAGAGATAGGGCACTCATTACCTCCCGAGGCATCTCCTTTTAACCCTAGGCCACTCTCCTATGTGCAACTTGGTTCTTTTTAAACTGAGGTGAAATCACCTCTGCATCCTGGATGAAGAGGGATCTGATACAGCATCTGGGAACACCTTGAGGCTCTGGGAACAGCATCTGGGAACACCTTGGCACAAAGAAAAGCAGAATAAGCGAGACTGGATTGCTGCCTTCAAGTATCTGGAGGCATGGAAGGAGGAAGGAATGAGATCTCATTGCATGGCCTTAAAGTTAAAGTGTGTGGCCGATGCAGAGGTGATTTCACCTCAGTTTAAAAAGAACCAAGTTGCACATATGAGAATGCCAAAATATCCCTAGAGCCTCAAGGTGTCCCAGATGCTGTATCAGATCCCTCTTCATCCAGGACACAATCCCATTTGTCACTGTCCCTCTTAAAGGTCAATACCCCTAAATGGGCCGCAGTCCTCTGGGAGTGATCTGAGTAGTACAGAGTAGTCAAGACCAACACCACCCACATTCTGAAGATGCTATACCTTGTAAAGGAGCTTGAGGGGCAAAACCATGACTGCTGGTCAGACTGCAAGCCAATATAGCACTCCGAAAACAAAGTAAAATAATGCCTCCAGGCCAGAACCTGTCTGTTTGGTGATAAACATCAAACTATATTTTTTCTTTCCCCAGAAATCTCCGCCTGGATCCCTCAGCCTCCGGGGAAGTCTCACACAATCTGTCTCTCCACCGTGAACAAATATATCCAGGCCCCAGCTTAGGCACATCTGCTGTGAGTCCAGGTGACAATGGGAGAAAAGATGACACCATCAACCTCATAAACCAACAGAGATGGCAGGCCCACTGCCTCCTGCAGCAACACAGCACGGCAGCCTACTGAGTTAAAGACTTCTGACATCTGCTCAGGAGCGGCAGGAGCAGAAGAGAGAGGCCAGGCAGGTTCCAAAAGCCGTGAATCATCCCCACACACCCCCATGGTTCCAAACCCAGGCCACCGGCTCTGCTTCTGCACTGCTGGCAACACGCAGGCCACAGGCCAATCCATGGCTGGGCCGACTCAATTTTCTAGTTACAGATCTTAAGTACTTAGGCATGTGCTCACGAGAACACACATCCCTTACACGGAGCTGAGAAAGGGAATTGTGCCGAGGAACAGAATAATTGAATCAAGATTTCTGTCACGCTGCTCTCCGGCCCTAGACCACAGCCCTGGTTTTTTTTTTTTTTTTTTTTTTTTTCTCCTTTTCCTGACTAAGGTTTTACAGACTCCCAGGGGGTCTTTTCTTCTCTCAAACCCATTAATGTCAGCCAGTACTGGCAGCCCATTCAGGGCTTGAAAGGCGCCCCGGTTAAGGTGTCCTGCGTCCAGGACGGAGGTGGCTGGCTCTGGGGACCCAGGCACCACACGGCCCAGCCCGTGGAGGGCCTGAGAAAAACCAACCGGGAAGATTGTCATCTTTGTAATCCCTCCCAACACCCCCGCACTCCTTCCTTCCAGACCCAAGGGCAAGGATGATGATTATTAATTTCCTCAGCACCGCCCGCAACACCATCACCAGGGCTGAAGGCCTTCTCTGCTGAGACGTGTGCAGGGCCTTTCAGAGAACCCACCTCTCCGCCCACCCAACGTGTGCCCCTCTCACGGCTTTGCCCAGCCCCCTCTCTCCGGTCCAAAGCTTCTCCACAAAGTGGACTTGGGTGTGGAGCCCAGCACACCCTGCCCTCGGGCGGCATATCTGCACGCACACAGGGTCTTCTTAAAGGCCAAAGCTCAGGCCACAAGGGCTCTGCCAGGCCCTCTGCTTCTGTCCAAGGGGTGACCACCGGGAAGGCCAGCAAGAATGCCACAGTCACCCTGCTGCCTGTCTGCCCTTGCGGAGGGCTCAGCCCTTTCCCGTGTTCATGAAAAGGACAGAGTGCGGGCAGAGGGACTCGCTCTTCTGCAGGTAAAGGGGGTGCTCGCGGGCACCTCTGCTGCCACCTGCGACCAAGCGCCCGAAACGGACCCCATGAGGCGCATCCCCGACGGGGCTGCGCGGGCCTCTCTTACTTACCTTCGTCTCTCTTGCGCTTGTTGGTGTCGGCGCTGGGGGACGTGATGCCCAGGATGCCGCTGATGGAGTACGAAGAGCCGGCGGAATCCGTGCTCACCGAGGACACCTGCGTCACGGAACCCGTGGACACTGCGCGGAGAAAGACGGGCTGTAAGGGCCGCAGAAGGCTGAGGGCCGCGGGCAGGCTGTCACCGCACGCGGGACTGGGGGCGGCTGGGAGGGAGAGAGTGCAGAGGGGCAGGAGGCTCTGAGGACCCTCGCCCTGCGGAGGCGGCCACACCGGGGCCACCAGCGCGGGCCTCGGATGGGCCATGTGCTCCAGCTCTCTGCGCTGGGGGGAGGAAGGAGAGGGGTGGGCACTGAGGAGGACTGACCCCTGCAGAAAGGAACAGGGGGACACGGGGACAGGAAGGGCACTCGCTCAAATTCCAGCCTTTCCATGGATACAGAAAGCAGGGGATGGAGAGGAGAAAGAAGGGAGCCGGGGCCCACCAACAGCCAGTGCTAAAACAAAACAAAACAAAACAAAAACAAAAAACCTGGAATACTCATTAGGCATTTCCCCACCTGCCTGTACACCCAACCTTGTGTGCAAACACAACTACCTGAGCGCAAACTCACGGGCTCAGCTAACAAACTCCAAACCACAGAGTGCCCCTTCTTGTTACAGTTTTCTCCCTGCCTTTTCTCCTTCCAGTTTCCCTGGATTTGATTTTTAATATTAATTATGACAATAAGGATAACAAACATTTTCTGAGAACTTACTCTGTGCCAGGCATTGAGGCATTATCTCATTTAATTCTGAGAAAAATAATAGAAGCTAGGAAATGTGATAATCCTATTGGAAAGGTAGAACTCAGAGAAGACAAGTGGCCCACCCAGGATCACACAGCTAATAAGAGGCAGAGTACCTGGTGCCAGGGCTCACGCCTGTAATCCCAGCACTTTGGAAGGCAGACGTGGGAGGATCACTTGAGCTCAGGAGTTCAAGACCAGCCTGGCCAACATAGCAAGACCCACCAAAAAACTTTTTTAAAAATTAGCCAGATGTGGTGGCACAAGCCTATAGTCCCAGCAACTCAGGAGGCTGAGGCAGGAGGATCACTTGAGCCCAGGAAGTCGAGGTTGTAGTGAGCTATGATTGTGCCACTGTACTCCAGCCAGGGCAGCAGAGCAAGACCCTGTCTCAAAAGTAAAAATAAAAAATAAAAGACACAGAGTGGTGATTTGAACCCGGAGACTAAAGCCTTAATCCCTATAACTAATCTGCTTCTCACTAATAAATAATGAAGAGCAATAATATACTTCACATGAATGCAGTACTTTTCATCTGATGATTGCAACAGCCCAGAGTGCTATTATTTATCCCCATTTATCAAATGAGGAAACTGAGGCTCCACAGGGAAAGTGATTCAGTCATCTAGCTAATAAACAGTGACATCAGAACTTAGCCTTGGGTTTACTTACTTAAAGTCTACATTTCCCCTACCCAGAGACAGGGGCAGTGGTTGGTGACTTACTGTGACTGAGGCTAGGTCTCAAAGTTCCTAAGAATAAGAATTGGATGGGAGGCAGGGGGCAACTTTTGTGCAAGTTTCACATTAACTTCTGGCCCCAGAATCCTAGGGAGAGATCAGTTCATCAGCAGGGGCCTCTCTAGCTATACAGCTGAATTGCCATTTCTGGGCTGTGGGAATTCTTTCTTGGTTCATTAAAACCTACAGACCAATCTCAGACACACTTCCTTGGGCTATAACCAGCTGGAGGCAGGTGGAGCCACCTTTGACTCTTGAGAGTAGGAAATCACTAGAAATGGCGGTGACTGCCTGAGAAGCCCTTCATGGCTTCCCTTTGGAGCAGATCCAGCTCCTGGCTCCTACAAACCTAGAGGGAGCCATGCCTTTCTTCTTACATTTCAGTTTGATCTTACATCTTCCTTAAGAGACACAGAAGCAGAAATTGTTAACTTCTCTTTTTCTTCACCAGAAGAAGCTCCTTAAAATAGATTTATGCAAATCCCACAACCTTTTCTGTATTAACATGTAAAAAACAGAGGAAGAAAGAAGATCCCAAGTCACTTGGTACTTTAAACAACAAGCACCATGTATAACCAAGGCTCATCATGTTGCTGGCAGAGCCCATGACATTCATTTTGGTGTTTTGTGATTGCTCTAGGCTCAAAAGACCCAGATTCCACTTCTGGCTCCACCACTTACCGGCAACATGACCTAGGGCTAGTTATTTCATCTCTCTAAGTTTCAGTTTCATCACTTCTCGGTAAGTTTGTGAACTCTAAGGGGCTATATGTATGCGAGATATAGTTTAATTTAAAAATTTCTGGAACAGAACAAAACATGCTGCTGACCTACAGTAGAATTATTCCTCTAAACCAAATGAAAGAATATTAGCAGTTACACCTATCTGATTTTCAGTGCTATGTGACCTGAAATCGTTGGTCAGCTACAAGTGAAATCTCAGCCACAAATATTCCCCCAGAAAGCCTTCCTTCACCCTCTTCACCCTAGCCCAACACAGCTGGTGCTTCCTTCCCTTCTGCCCCCACGGCACCCATCCCTTCTTCTTGAGCTTCATCTCTGTTTTGCAAACTTCTCTTCATTATATTCCCCCTTTACCTTGAGAATGGGGATCGTGTCTTCCCTTTCTTATAGGCTTGGCCTCTGATGCCAAGGTCTGCACCGCAGGGACTTAGCAGACACTTTCTGAAGGGATTACTAAATGAGGAATTATTTCATGGCAGGGAGGAAATCTGTCTTACCTTTATCCAAAGAGCCAACCATGGAGGATCAGAGGCCTCAGCGAGCACCTGGTTAGTGCCCCTCCATCAACAAATGAGGAAACTGAGGCTCAGGGAGGTGAGAGGACTTTTACATTTTACTGGGTGAGTTAATGACAGAGTTGGAACCAGAGGCCAGGCCTCTGTCCGTTCCCCATCACCGTGTGAGTTCAAGTTTTCAGTTAAAGAAGGAGTAACAAAAGTGTGAAAATGTTATACAATCTGAGGTGTGATTCTACAGGATTGACTGTGGCAACCAGAAGTGTCAGAGACTTGCTGAATCATTGCCCACTTTCTTATATAGTACAATAACTTTTCCCCCAGCTAACCAGTGGTGTATCTTGTATCCCAAGTGGAGAAATAATACACCTTAAATAGACACGTGTCATTTCACAATCTTTGAAGGGAAGACAAAGGACATTTCTGAATTCTTGAGCACTAAGAAGTATGACTCCTCTGTTGGGTCATGGCCACTCCCAGACATCACCTGTGAGCGCCGGAAACCCCACTGGCAGCCCTTGACAGTTCACAGAGTTCATGAGATCGAAGCAAGAGAGAGAGAAAGTAAGTTTGGGAAGTTTTGCCACATCTTCACTCAAGACTGCAAGTGCACAAAGAATTGTAGAAGGGCTGGTTGATAGAAGAAAAAAACACATTCAAAACTACTTACTGACTAATGATGCAGAAAATGTTATGAATAAGTATCCCTTTCTTGATTTATTACTTTAATTATCTGACATTCTATAGACCCCCATTAGTGGATTTTTTTTTTTTGGCTTAGATTTCAATTTTCTGTCTCATGGTGAAAGCTATTTATCATAATAATCAGTAAAATTCAAAACCTTTTAGCAGTATTTATAAAATTCATTTACCAGGTTCAGCCCTTGGAGAATGACAAAGAAGGCGCATTAGTACGTGTGCTGAAGTGTTTTATGCAGAATTATCTGTCCATAAGAATGATTAAAAGTTCTTTAGAATATTTGGAGCCCATTAGATTTTTAAATTTTTTTTAAAAGTTCCTCTTACCTATGCTGTGACTGGAAGCTGGGACTGGTTGATTGGGTGGCTGCTGTACTTTTGTCCGGATGATCCTGTGGGCAGTTGGAAAAAAAAAATGGCTATTTACCGTCAGGAAGGAGAAGAGACCTCAACCAGCTATGCACAGACAACCAGAAAACTCATACCCAAACTGGGCCATGGATCGAGCTGAGGCAGAGGGGCAGAGGTGGAGGGAGATTATAAACCCAGGCTTGGAATCTGGAGGATGGAAGGTTTATGGACTAGTCCCAACTTTGCTTCTGTTTTCCTGGGTGTCTTTGTATAATTTGCACCCCATCTCTGGGCTTCAAGTGCCTCTTCTGAAGAAAGAGGACGATGTGTTAACATTACAAGTAAGCATCCATATCTCGAGTATAGCTCTAGCTCCATAACAGACTCATTGACTTTAGGGAGTCCTTCCCTTCCCTAGACCTCAGCCTCCCATCTGTGGAATGAAGGAACTGAACTAGGTAACCTCCCTGTCCTCTGGCAGTGCTCGTGTGCTGGTTTCTCTGCCCTAGAGAACACATAAGGAGGGATAACACCCCTTCCCTTAGGAAGTTGCCAAGGGAGGGATGTATGTGTTGTTCTGATACTAGGGAGGATCAAAGTGCTGCCAGGAGACATCTGATTTGGCTTTCTTAAGAGGAAGCCTACCTTGCCCCAGACCTCATGGAAAGGATCCACAGGGCTGGAGCCAGTGATATCCTGGTCTGTCTTTTCAGAGACCTTGCTCACATTCTAATAGAAACTCCACTGTGACCTTGACCAAGTCCATTCCATTGTGGACCTCGATACAATGACGGAGTTGGAACAGACCACTCTACTTATTTTAAGTAATCGAATCATTTTTGGAAAAGAAAAAAGATCTTATGGAAAAGCCCTGTACATAAAAGAGATAATAGCAGTACTGCTTTCCCTTGGCCACCTGACCGCTCTAACATTCTTCTGCAGAACCTTAGGCTCTGGGGAGTCTGTAGACTTCCAGCAAGGACAATGCATGTGCAAGACCGCAAGCCCGGAGCATCTGAGAGCAGCAGAACAGGGCCACGTCAAAAGCTCCTTGGGATCTACCAGAAAGCTCCTTCCTTGGCATTTGAGAGAAGAGTGGGTCATAATAAAATGTCCAGTTTCTTTGGGAAAGTTCTATTCCAGTCTCAAACTATTACCTTTTGAAAGGACATTTATTAGAGTTTTTCCTCATTATAAAAGTAATATGTGTTCATTGTAGACTCTTTGGACAGCATGGGAAAGTATAAAGAAGACATCTAAAAAACATATTTTGGTGTATTTCCTTTATACCAACATTCCTGGGCATATTTAGAAATATCCATTTTTCTTTTAACAAAATCAGGATTTGCCATGTATACAGTTTTTTGTTGCTGTTGTTTGTTTTGAGACAGAGTCTTGCTCTGTTGCCCAGGCTGGAGTGCAGTGGTGCGATCTCAGTTCACTGCAACCTCCACCTCCTGGGTTTGAGTGATTCCCCTGCCTCAGCCTCCCAAGTAGCTGGGATTACAGGCACACGCCACCATGCCCAGCAATTTTTTTTTTTTTTTTTTTGAGACGGAGTCTCTCTCTGTTGCCCAGGCTGGAGTGCAGTGGCATAATCTTGGCTCACTGCAACCTCCGCCTCTTGGGTTCAAGTGATTCTCCTGCTTCAGCCTCCAGAGTAGCTGGAACTACAAGCGCATGCCACCACACCTTTTGTAGTTTTAGTATTTTTAGTAGAGAAGGGGTTTCACCATGTTAGCCAGGCTGGTCTCGAACTCCAGACCTCAAATCGTCCGCCCACCTTAGCTTCCCAAAGTGCTGGGATAACAGGCGTGAGCCACCGCGCCCAGCCTCCATGTATACAGTTTTGCATCTTGCGCTTTTCATGCAACATTCTATCAGAAGTTTTTTCACATTCCAGACCATTAATATCTGAAAGTTTATTCTGAGGATGCACTGGGTCTCCAGCTTGTACAAATGAAGAAGAAGGACAGAAGTAACAGGTGGGTGCCTCCCCTTAAACTTAATGGGCAGTAGCCTCTGCCCTCTCCGATCTTACAGCTTGGTGCTGGGCACCAAGGGCACTCCGTGTCCTCGGCTGATAGCCTGGGAATGGACTTTTCTGTTCACCCTATAGTCTCACCACACACGCAGGTCATCTGGAGCCTGGCTACTTGAGCTTAGCAAGGAGCCTCTTGCCCTTTTCTAATCAGTCAGCTTAAATATTCCCTCAAATACATTCAGATTGTTGGTTTGTTTTCCCTAATATTCAAACCACTTATTTTAACTAAGCAAACTCGAAGCATATTGGACAAAGTTCTGGGAGTGAGGTTGTCTTTTCAGTCACCTGGAAGTAAGCTGGCATCTGATCTAATGTTTACATTTTTGTGTATATCACTGTCTGTGTGTGTGTGTGTCTACAGAGATATTGCTGGATATGTCAATATATGGATATACCAGACATAAATATAGTTACATATAAATATATGGCAAAAAAAAGCCACTGTAATTCAGCTTAAAATCCTTACTTTTCAAATCATTGCCTGGCTACTAAATTTGTATGTAAACAAAGCAAAGAAAATTATGTTTTCCTCATTTTCTTTTAAAATGTTATAAATATGACTGGAAAGCATTATTAATTGCTATAGGTCATTAAGAGGCAGCAGTAGCATAGTGTACAGGCTCTGGAACTAGAGACCACTAGAGTTTGAATTCCAGTCCTGTGGCAATTTACCGGCTACGTGATCTTAGGTAAATTACTCGGCCTCTCTGTACCTCAGTCTCTTCATCTGCAAATGGGACTAAGAATCATTCCTATCTCATAGGGTTACTATTAGGATTAAATCAATTAATTACTTAAAACAGTGGCTGCTACATACTAGGTGCTCCATAAATGTAAGATGTTATTTTCAGTGGTGTCTTTGTAAAGATTAATGACTAGCTGCAGTCCTAAAATGTTCATATTTTTCACATTTGCTTTAAAAAGCACAAGGTGAGGGCGGTGGGGGAGTGAAGATGCTCAATGGGCACAAAAAAATAGAAAGAATGAATAAGACCTAGTATTTGATAGCACAAGAGGAGACTATAGTTAGTAATAATTTAACTGTACATTTAAAAATAAAAGAGTGTAATTGGATTGTTTGTAACACAAAGAATAAATGTTTGAAGCGAGGCATACCTCATTTTTCATGGTGGGATTATTACTCATTGCATACCTGTACCAAAATATCTCATGTACCCATAAATATATGTATATATATACCTACTATGCACCCATAAAAATTAATAATAATAATAATAAAGCACAAGTGGTCCCCTTGGAAGCTGGGGAGGGGAAGGTAACCATTCTCACACTCTGTTTTAAGGCTGAAGCCGGGCTGTTCTTTATAAAGGGGGATCTCAGAGTTACAGGGAAGCTTCTGAAGCCGCCCCCAGGGGTGAGAGATTTTGCTCATCTGCCTTTAGCAGTCACCGAGTAAAAACAAAGAGCATCAGCTTCCACCGAGAAGAAACTGTAGTGGGAAGAACAAGACTGTAATTGAATCATAGCAACTCTAAACAAATTTAAAATTTTTAAAATGACAGGCTGTCAAGACTCATCCAATGAGAGCACACTCAGGACCTTTCCTAAGCCAGAGACGGTTGGGCTGAGTTGGCGGTCACACCAAACTGCACATCCTTTACCTGCTGAGCGTGAGCAGGATCCCGGCTGCCGTACTGCAGAGCACACTACACTGTCCAAGAGAGAAGGGAGCTCAGCATCAAACTCTTCCTATGGATGAGGAAACTAAGGCCCAAGACGCTCAAATGACTTGCCCAGAGTTGCACAGCAGCGAGTCAGCCCAGACTCCCAGCTCCCATGCCCCAGCATTTTACTTTAAGCCACATTCAAAGGAAGCTCGGTCCCTCTGCTAAATACTTCCTATGTGAGGCATAAAGGTTATTTGGATTTCAAACCCACTTAGAATTTGAGGTTTAAAACTCTGAGGGACTTTGTGGCATTTAAGGATCCCATGGAAACATCACTCTTCCTTCTTTGAAAGGCTAGGCTTCTCACCATCATCCCACACCCCCCGCCCCACCGCCAGTCCTCACAAAATTACAGTGAAAGAGAAAATCATGGTGCCTTGAAAAAGGAAACATGAAAATAAGGCTGAAGAAACACCCACATCTATGGCACTGATCAAATTGCCACCAATGCAGTAAGAAGTTGAGAATCCAAAACCCAGGGGTCCAACTGTTCCAAGCTGTGAGGGGCCCCACAGGTGGCACCCAGGCCTGTGACTGTTGTGGAGAAGAAAGAGGACACAGATAGAAGTCAATGTGAGTGGATCGCTTGAGTCCAGGAGTTCGAGACCACCCTGGGCAACGAGATGAAACCCCATCTCTACAAAAAAATGCAAAAAATTAGCCAGGCATGGTGGTGGCACCTGTAGTCCTAGCTACATGGGAAGCTGAGGTGGGAAGATCACCCAAGCCTGGGAGATCAAGTCTGCAGTGAGCCATGATTGCGCCTGTGCACTCCAGCCTGGGCAACAGAGTGAGACCCTGTCTCAAAAAAACAAACAAAGAAAGAAAGAGGAAATGGATAAACAATCTCAGAAGGCCTGCCACCAAAATTAGAATTAAGAGCAGAACTAACAAAACATCTTCCCCAGGGCCACCTCCAGCCTGGGACAAGTTTTGCTTACGGTATATTTGTTTTTATTTGAATTAGTTGCTAATATTTTTAAGTTGGGAGATTTTTCATAAATATCTGATTTCTAGCTTCTCTTGAAAAATCAGAACACCCAATAATACTGGCCCCACGTTCTCACATGACCCAACCAGTTGAAAGGCTAAACAGAGCTGCTCCTCTAAACTGGGAGTGCCACTTGTAGTCCCCACCCCTTGGCCACGGTGCTGGAATAGAAGAAGGAAGACCCCATTCCACCCACCATTTGGGTCAGCTTTGGGATGGCCACCTCCAGTGGACACTCAGGCTGGATTCCAGCAATCCCTGCAGGTTGTGCAGCCTCCCAGCACATGTTTGTCCATAAGAAGTCAAATGAACAAGGTGATCTATGTCCCAGGAAATCCCCTACCAGCCTAACAGAACTAGTTCAGTGATGCTCAGCCTCTTGTCAGTCATGGTTTAGGTTGGTGCCCTGGAAGATAACAGGAAGGCACATACTCCTAGGGGTGAACCATGGAGACGCCCCTATGGCTATGAGAATAGCCACAAATCCAGCCATCACTTCCTCCGCAGCTGTTTGAAATCAGGAAGAGTGAAAAGTTGCCTCCGAGGGAGGCAGGGGCTGGGAGAGCTGTGAACTCTCTTACACAGTGTCATTTGCAAGGCAGGCGTTTAGAAGCTGCATTCATCTGAATGCAGTGGGAGCTTTGCCTTCATCTGAAAAATAAAACTGTATGCTGGGATGGCTCTGGCTTTGGGGGGTTGGGGGTGGGGAAGGCAGCCACATGAGATTGTCCTACACTTAGTGAGCTGTCACTGAAGACAGCAGGAAGGAGCCAGAGAATACTCCCAAAAAGAAGCCCCCAGCGAGGAGCACTGGAGAGGGCTAAGGATGAGAGAGGGCAGGCAGCCAGGCAGCAGAACGGGTAGCCTGCGAGGCTCTGAAATGGAGAAGAAAATACTTGTCCTCCCCCTTGTCTCTCGTCTCACAGACCCTCAGTTCTGTCACTCGCAGAGTCCTACAGGACGGTGGTGGAAAGAAACTAGCCCTCCTCTTATGATCGGGAAACCTGGGTTCTACCCCCATGTCTATCTCCAAGTCACTGTTCTCTGCACTCTCCACCTTGGCCTCTGTTGCTACACCTGCCACAGGATAGAGTCAAGCCTTAAGGACTATAGGAGACCACAGACGTGAAAGCACCTTAGCGGCACAGACTGCCTGGCCATGGCTTTGAACAGCACACCCAGGACGCCCCTGAGGCTAGCCATGGTCCTGCAGCCAGCAGTTAGAACCTCCCCACAGCACAAGTCCAGGCAGAAAGCATCAGTGGGTCAGTGATCTCTCCTGACCACATATCCCATGCCCCTTGGCAGCTCTATTTGTAACCACTGCTCTATTTGCCTCATACATTTCTTTCACATCACTTCATTTTTGACTTAAATAAAGTTATTGTGTAAGGCAATTAGAGTTCCCTACTGTAAGTGGGTAGGTGGGAGTGTTGAGGGGGCGTTCACAAAGTTCACAAACTCACTGGTTTAGCATGTTACTTACATTTTTCTAAAATACATTAAAATAAATGTATTACAAAACAATGTGAATCCTTGCATCTTTGCATTATAGGGGATGTAAACCAATGCTCTGTAAATAAGTTATGCTCATCCTTCAAGGCATTTTTCATTGAAATTAGTTGCCTCCATTAAAAAAATATAGATTAAGCTAGGTGCGGTGGCTCACACCTGTAATTTCAGCACTTTGGGAGGCTGAGATAGGAGGATTGCTTGAGCCCAGGAGTTCGATACCAGCCTGGGCAACATAGGGAGACCCCATCTCTAAAAATAATAATAATAATAATTTAAATATAAAGATTTCATATACAGAAATATACATACATACATCTACACAAGCCCCAGCTTCTGCCTTCTCTTGAAGAATGCAAAAAATCTGGCAAACACTGGACCCATGTTCCTGGCAGCATTCGGCTGGAGCTAAGAAGCAGTGCTCCTTTAATAGAACTTGTGCTGTCTAGCTTGCCAGGGACCCAACCTCTCCCCATCGTCTTATGGCTGGCCTGCTTCCCTCATTACCTTATCTGCCTGGCCCCATGTAAGGCATTAGATTTTGTGACCCCCATGGACTACCTAAGGTTATCTTGCAAACCGCCGATTATATGTGTACTCTACGTTGGGAAACCTGTGGGTCCCCAAAGCCTGACCAGGGGTTTGGCTGATGTTCCTCTGCAGAGCAGGCCAGCTGCCTGTCATGTTGTTTTGTGTCATGGAAATCTTGCAAAGAGCCAGAAGTATGGGGCTCATAAAACACACTGGAGCCTCTTATAATCCAGAAAAAAGAACAGGAGTTATCCCCTCTTCCCCAAAACCTACCATCATCATTGTTACCTCCTCAGTAAGTTTGTCCAGGTGCATCAGGCTTCTAAGTGCATGTCAGAACCCCACCCTGGACAAAGAGCCCCTCTAGAACAGACCAAGAAACTGTGTGCCTGATTCTCCTCTATTTCCCCTGCACCGTGCATGATGTCAGGGCCTCTGTAAAGGTTTGCCAAGAGAAGAAAAACAGGCTAACCATTTACAAAATAGCAGGACTCAAAATGTGAACACATGCACTCCCACGGCGATCTGTGCATTTGAGTCATCACAGAAGGATCCACTATCAGGACAAGAGGCTCTCACTCTAGTCTGACCGACCACCTCTTTCTGCCAGGAGTGAGGGTCCTCTATGCCCACACAGGCTCTGCACTGATGATGGTAGGGTGTGATTTGGAGAAATGGAAACTGTCCAGGTTTCCAGGCTGCTGCCTTCTCTTTTCTCTGCAGAGTTTAGAGAACCATCATTTCTGTTCATCTCTGAACTTCATTCCTAACTCTGTGGGTTTAAATGGAGTTGAGATTGCATCATCTACAACGGAAAACTTTCTTCCATACGTTTATTTTTAAAGCTCTGAGAGCACCCTTCCATGTATCTTGGATCAGACTGGAAAGGAAAGGGAGCTGTGTGGCTCCCAGGAAGATCTTGTGCATGACACCCAGGGTGTTTCTCTGGTTCTTTCTCTCCATGTGTAAGATTCCATGTGTGAGTTGGGAAAAGGACAACTCCATTGCTCCAGAGCATCTTAGCATCCTGGACAACACCCCTGGAGTTGAAGACGCACATCAGAACTACTGGGGTTCTGGGCTCTCGGAGAATGGAAGAGCCTTGTCAAGGTCCCACTTCGAGTTTGTGGCAGAGCTGGAACAAGGAGCCAAGTCTCCCAACTCCAAGTCAGAGCTATGTTCCCCTCACTCACTGGCTCAAGCTCCGCCCAAACTGGAGGCAGGATTTTCTTCCTGGGAACCTTTGAGATGGGCCAGTGCCAAGACCTTGAGCCTAGGTTTACAGGGACAGCAACATTTGTGAAGGCCTAGTCAGGACAATTCACTGCGAAGTGTTCCACACATATAGGTGGGTGGTAAAGGGAGGGATAGAAATAACTCTGGGCTCAGAAGAACCTCGAGCAGCCAGAGTGTTGGCATGCTCCCCTCTCCCTGGGCCTAGGACTCCTACCCACTTTGGAAAGAAGAAGAGAAGGGTAACAGAGACCCAGTGGGCCCCATTAGCATCTCTCCTGTTCAGTAACCCCTAAGGGGCTTTGGTGAAAAGAGAGACCAGATCTTCAGGAAAGGCACATGCAGAGCCTCCAGAACACCCTGCCATCCTCCCAAATCCCCAGCCCCCACAGGCACGAGCTCCTCACCTGTTGATGGAACTGACGCTAGGCACGGTGTCATTGTCACACACCCGCTCCGCCAGCAGCCGGTCCCTGATCTCCCAGGCAAACATGGTGGGATTTTGGCGTTTATACTCAGCGATTTTTTCCACCACTTTGGGTGTGGCGACCTTTGGTTTGGATCCTCCAATTACCCCAGGCTTGATGCTTCCTGTCTCATAATACCTAGGACCCAAAGAGAAAGAAGCTTAGCCATGAGGAACCAGTAAAGTGGATGTTGGCAACAAAATAATGGGCTACTTGGTCCAGGAATCGTCTGGATCTGCACGTTCCAATACAGTAGCCACCAGCCAGATGAGGCTTTTGAACATTTGAAATATGGCTAGTCTGAATCAAGATGTGCTGTAAATATAAAACACACACCGAATTTTTAAAACAGTACCAAAAAAACATAAAATATCTCAATAATTTTGATAGTATGTTGAATGTTTGATATTAAGTTATATGTTGAAATAACCATTTTTATATATTGAGTTAAATAAAATATATAATTAAAATATAATACCTCTTTTTATTTTACTTTTCTTAATGTGCTACTAGAAAATTTTAAATTGCATACACAGCTCTCATAGTATTTCTTTTTTTTTTTTTTTTTTTGATGGAGTCTCCTCTTGTTGCCCAGGCTGGAGTGCAATGGCATGATCTCAGCTCACTGCAACCTCTGCCTCCTGGGTTCAAGTGATTCTCCTGCCTCAGCCTCCCGAGTAGCTGGGATTACAGGCATGCACCACCACGCCCAGCTAATTTTGTATTTTTAGTAGAGACGGGGTTTTACCATGTTAGGCTGGTCTCAAACTCCTGACCTCAGGTGATCCACCTGCCTCGGCCTCCCAAAGTGCTGAGATTATAGGCATGAGCCTCCGCGCCTGGCCAGTCTCTCATTGTATTTCTTTTGGACAGCACTGGCTAAGCATTAACAAAATTCTTTCACATTGATCTACCATTTTATAGTTTACAGAAAACTTTTGAGTCAGTTTTCCCATTTTATCTCCGACAGTTCTAAAGTACATAAATTGCTTTGAATTAATGAATGAGTGAATGAACAAATAAATGAAAAGGTCCTGACCTACAGGTATAAAGCAGAGATTCATCAAGGTTAAACAGTTTTCCTAGGGTCACACAAGACCAAATGGGCAAGCCAGGGCTGTGGCTCAGCCTCTTGAACTAAAATTTCCCCAATAAGGTACCTTACACCTTTGATTTGCCAGCTCTTCCAAGCCCTAGCACAATCTCCAGCATTGTATGAAACTATCCCCTGAAATGCAACTTATTTTTCCATAAGAGAAAAATAATAATCTTGGTGTAAAATTAAAAGGAATGTTGAATTGCAGAATTATCTGAAAATACGTGTTGTAAGTCAAAACCCAAGCAATCGGAAAAACCAACCACAAGTCACAGCAACCCTTCCAGGGACCTCCCCTGAGGTAAATGGCTGTTTCTAAGGACATTTCCATGCTATCAGCATTTGCTCATTAAGGAAAATAGGATGTCAGGATTTTACAGTAAAACCGAGACCGAGAAGAAGAGTGCCATGAAAGATCATTTCAGGCGGGAAAAAAAAAAAAAAAATGACATGATTCCTTTTCTGAATCTGAGCCATTCCTGGATGTCTCTCTCAATATTTACAGAAGAATTCTTGATTTCCTTTTCCAAGAAAATTAACTTGCAGTTGAATCTTTTTTAAAAAACCAAAAAGACATTTTTTAAATGACTAGTAATTTTCAAACCTCACAAGAGTTGATGATAGGCAAGGGAACGAGGTGATTCTGAGATGGGTAGAAAATGTTACCCAAGATTCCTGGTCACATTTATAGAGATGCTGAAATTCTCAGCCTGGGTAAGTTTGGGTAAGGCCAAGTTAGTGAATATCCTAAAAGAGATGAAATAATTTGGAAGCAGTGATGTGATAGTGAAATGTCTGTTTTTCATTGAAAAGAGTGAGTCATTTGCAAATTTTGACCATAAGGCAAAAACTCAACCTATCTTCCCTCTTTCTAAACAATTGCTTTCAGCAATTTTCCTGTAATTGCCAAAAAGTTATTACTCACAAACAACTTTTTAACAATATCCCAAAAAAGCCAGAAGTCTAGAAAAGCACCCTAAATCAAGGCACACAGCAATCTCTGCAGCTTCCAATTGTCCTATCAATTTTATAATGTAAAGTCAATTTTTACTATAACACAACTAATTATAATTCAGCCACAGCGCCCTGTAGTTTACAGAGCTCTTCCTCGAATTATCTTGATCCTCACACTAACCCTGCAAGGCCACAGAGATTTATAGAAGGAAAAATAAATGATCAGAAGACTAAGTGACTTGCCTAACTCCCTTCTATAGTTAGGAACAGCCCCAGCTTTCAAACCTGACTCTAAATTCAGTGCTCTTCCCGCTAGAGCAAGCTGCTGCTTTGCTTATAAAATTTTAAATAATAATAATAATAATGATCCCTTGCAATTGCCAAGAACTTTACTATTTACCAGGCCAGGCATTTTCACATGCATTTTTCATTCATTCACTCACTCAATAGTCACCGAGTGTCTGTTAGGACAGGCAGAATCTCAGGGAAGGGGTTACGGACATTTAGACAACCCTGTCCTGGATACTCAAAATATGTTAGTTGAATGGGACTGCAACATTCACATAGCAAATCTGAGAGGGTGGCAGGCTAAAGGCCCCCACCCCAGCCCAGCCCCAACTTACATGGCTGGTGGGCGGCAGCACACAGGGCTACCTGCCCATCCCACCTGAGCAGTGCCAACTGTGGAAGGCTGCGGCCTTGACATGAGAGATCTCCGTCGTCTTTTTGACTGACACATGGGCCAGGCACTTGGAAGGCAACCCTGACAATCCCGAAACCCCAACTCGAAACTGTGTCAAATGAGGATTCAGATTTAATAACTACCCTTTCATCTCAGCAAAACAGCCGTGCAGCCCCTTGGCTTACAGACAAAAGACGAACGGCAGTCACCAACACACAATGTCCTTCAGTGCAAACAGCATTAGTTTAGCAGTCAAGAGGTGTAGGTGACTCTGACGCTAACTCTCTGTGTGATCTTAGCCAACTTACTTAGCCTCTCTAGGCCTCAATTTTTCCATTTATACAATAGGGGAAGAACGTTTGCCCTGCTTGCTTTGTGAGGCTGTTTTGAAGACAAAAATACAGACGGTTGAGAACAAGCTTTGCAAAACATAAAATAAAGAGCACGTGCAGGGGATTAAAATCCCTAGTGTTTCTTATTACTGTGTAACCTACCACCCAATTCCAATGACCTGAACCTCTCAACCAGGCTCCAGTGAAAAAAGACAGCAGCCAGGCCCTGGGTGAATTTAACTCGGCCTCAGATGCCACTGTGCTGTGCCTCTCAAGCCCCTCCGAAGGCTTGAGCTCTGTAGACTGAATGCCCACACTCCTGGCAGACCGCCCACCTTCCTGAGATGACAGGGGTCCCTGTGTGCCCCAGGGACTTTGCCTGCCTTGCCACACACTCTGAAAACCATAGCCACCACACATCGCACTCTTCCTACAATCTGTCACCTCTCGTGTGCCCATCAAATTCATTGGTGACCAAAAAAAAAAAAAAAAAATCTGTGGATTGAACAGCCCCAGTTCAGAAATTCCCAGTTACACTGTTTTAGGGCTGAACTTGTTTCTTAAAAGGCAGTTCTAATTAGAGTGACATTTTGTCTACTGTGGTTCTTAGTTATGAAAATAATGAGCTATGAAATTCCAATTTATTGTTGACAACTTAAACGGCCAGGCACCGGAGCGGCGCGTAACTTCCGAGTGCCACTCTACCTAGTGACAAATCTATTCTGGCTATGGGAGGCTGCCGGCTGGGCTTGCAAGGGTCCCTGTCCCCCTCAGTCTCCATGGGAGATTTGGAGGCTCCACAGTACCAGAACATGAGGACCCCGTGTTTGGATGTCCCCTCTGAAAAAGGCTCGGTATCTTGCCCTGAGATTTCAAACAGCGAGCAAAATGTCGGCTCAGCAAAGATATCTCAGCAAAAACAAAGGAAAGGCCTTCTTTCTCTCTCCCTCTCTCTCTCTCTCTCGGTACAATGAAGAGGCTCCACAAAAAGATATCTAGGAGCCTTTTGGCTTTAGAAGTCTGATGCTGAGATAGTCTAAAATATTGTGCTCTCTCTCCCTTTCTCCTGTCTTGTCATTTATCTCTCTTTCTATTTCTCTGCCTTTTAAAAATCACTCTCTTTTCTCTTTGTCTTCTTTTTCTCTTTTTCTTTTCTCTATCTCTCTGTCTTCTACTTTTCTTCTCTGGCTCCCATCCGCCTGCCTAAAACAACCATCTAACAAGAAAACTGTGCTAATGTCCTGCAATCGCCCCCTAACTCTGGGGTTCATTTGCTTTCTGAGTGCTAAACAGGAGTGAAGCCCACAGCCCCCACAGCTCAGGTAACCTGCACTGGGCTGAAGGATGAGGAATGAACCCTGGGATCAAGGTCCCCAAAGGAGCTGCCAGACCGCTGGTCCTAAAACTTCTTCCCTTGGCCTCAAGCAAGCAGCCTCCCCAAGGTTATTAGAAGCTGTTGCTCCTTCCATCTGAGAGAATTTCTTGAATTCCAGCAGATGAAAGGGAAGGAGCCAGCAGAAAGTCACAATGTCACTGACATACTTCAAAATATTTATTTCCTATTCAGGCGTCTGTGCTCAAACCATAATGCAAGTTACAGGACAAAGGTTGTTTTCTGACCCAGGGAAAGAAATAGTGAGAAAGCACTGAACAGCTAAACCCAAGAAAGCTCCTGCCTGCCAGGGCAGACCTAAAACAAGATCTCATGCCCAGAAACAAATCTGTGGCTTTGTTTCGGGGGTATGGTGAGACCTACATGGTCTAGGAGTCCTTTAGGCGTCATCACAACCCAGGTACTGCCTGACTAGATAAACCTGTGTCAGTCACTTTGCCGCTCTAGGTTGGTTTTCTCATCTTAAAATGTGCTTCATTGGATCATGCGGAGGCCACTGAGAAAATAAACGGGAGTGCTAAAAGGCTGCATGGCCCTATGGGAGAAGCCTCATTGTTACTATTTTGTTTGCAGCAAATCACCAGGTCAAGTGGCAACTTTCAAATGTCACATTTGAAAGTTGGTGTTTGGGTTTTTTTTTTTCCTCCTCTCTAATTTAACGTATATTTTGGATGCTTGTCACTGCAATGGAAATAAAAACATAGAGAAGGAAAATACTGCAGCCCAACATAACAAGGTTGATAATAACCCAAAACTGAAAGTAATGGCTGACTTTTAAAAGTGGAATATGCTTTCAAAAACATTAAAATGAAACACTGAACTCTGGTTATGTGATATTAAGGATTTTCCAACCAGTCCTACTCAGGGACCCGGCCTCGCCTAGGATGTATAAGGGAAATTCCCAAGAACGTCTTTCTCTTGAGTTCTTTAGAACAATTCACCAGGCTTTCAGAAAACATGTCAACCCTCCTGACTAAGTCACCCTATTCCACATGTCACTAGAGACAGGGGTTTCCCAGGGCTACTTGGAATTGGGGCTTTGCAAACTCTAAAGCGCTCTGCGTGTGAAACAAAATGCCGTCATGATTCTCACTATGATACTGTCATATTGGACAGCTGCTGGGTCCTGTTTCAGGTCTTTATTTGAAAGATCAAGGGGAGCCTTGAGCTCCTGCCTTTACCTGCCAAGAATTTTGCTGACACAACCATGGCTGACCCGAAGCTGCCTGGAGATGTCGCAGGGCCTGACACCTTGATGAGCAAGTTCCACTATCCTCTGGCGGACTACATCCGGGAGTGGCCGTCCATTCACAAAAACCCCCCCAAGCTGATTCACTCCTCCATGTCCTGAAACAGATCAGAAACAAAAGGAAAGGGAAAGGGTGGTTAGAACCAGTCACATAGGAGAAGCACCGCTGTGAGGACCCAGAGCCCTTCTGATCACAAATGGCGGGCAGGCTGGATGTCTTGCGCCTGGAGTCCAATCGTGCAAACTACACGAAGTCCCCAGATTGCATTTGAAAATTAATCTTAGCCTTTGTCCATCTGCAGCCAGACTGTTGAGCTATTGACAGCAAACATCCCCATACTATTATTAGCATTTTCCCCGTAATTTTTCTAAACAATGAAATGTGTGAAGACCTCAATGTAAATGAAATGGGCACAACTTATTATGTGATGCTGAAGTCTAGGGAAGATCCTGGGGAGAAAATATGCTTTAAAATACATCACATTTAAAGAGGAAAAAAATAAAACTTGTTTCCTTTTAACAAATGTCTTTAAAAGTGAAAAAGAACAACTCCAATAAACATATATCTCAGGGAAAATTTTTAAATCAGCAATCTAATTTAAGGGCTAAGGAATTTTAAAAAAATTTAACAGCATCTGCAGAGTACTGAGGAAAACACCAACCATTGCCTTGTTTAAAACCCTCCCTTTAAGGTGAGGCTGACATGCAGACTTGACCACTGTGCTTTCTCAAAGCACACAAAAGAAATGGGTCATAGCATCTTCTACACATAGTACATTCCACTCCACTGCACGGGAATTTGTTATAAAGGAGTTTCCCTGGAATTTTTACAATGTTTTGCAATTGACAAACAGCTTTATTTTGGTGCAGGGAAAATAAAGAAACCTACAAAAGCCTCTGGGTCCCAGGTTTTACAAGGAAGGGTCCTGGGATAGATTTTAAGTAAAAGGAGTCTGAGAAAGTGCCTCCTCCACCCTTCTCTTACATCAAGGTCCAACTGGAAGGACCCAAGGACCCAAGTAAATGAAGAACCAAACCAGTAAACACAGAGTGATCCAATGCAGCAACATCATTGACCTTACAGCTGTTAATTAGTCACTCACTGACGTTGCTGTTGACTGGAGCCCAAAGTCAAGTCAAAGCATTTATTGATGCTCCTGGCAGCTCAGAGGCAAAGGAAGGAGAAATTCCCTGAACCGAGACTGGGCTAGGACTGGACAGTTCAAGGGAAAGACCTCAAAGGTCTCACACGCATATATACACTGCAACTCTAAAACATGAAATATCCACCTCATCTCAAGTTATTTCTTCCCAGTACTCAACTACTACCCAGGTTCATGAACCACATCTGAAATAAAGGGAGCAAAAACCCCCGTAATATAACGTATTTCCTAAAAACTGTCCAAGCAATCCACTCAAGTTTCCCATGAATATTTCCCAAAAATATTTCAGGCTCAGGCTTATTTCAAGGAAAAACACAATTTTATAGATAACTGAAGTACTTAGTTCCAGTTCTAAGCTGGATTTCTGATTTTCAGAATGATCTTTATTCAGTTTTGATTGTTCTAAAACACTCCAGATATAAGAAAAAGGAAAACCATTCCAAATAGGATTTTGCAGTTAGAAACATAATTGCATAGTTTTTCTAAAACAGAAAGACTGTAGCCATCCTGGTCAAGAGGCTTCAGAAGGCTTTGTTCTGGGGCTGGGAACACCTGTTTAAAAAGGTTGTACAGATCTTTCAAGGGTAGGCTGGATTTAAGTAAAAGAAAATGAATTCAAAATTGGTATAAGCTCATCTGGGAAAACAAAGGGCAGGCAAAGGAAGCTTAAATGCCCAGCACACTTTTGATATGGCCTGGGAGTCCAGTTATTATGGTCCATCTGCAATAGTCTGTTCTCTATGTCACTGACAATTGAGACTTTCTGCCCAAAACACAGTGGCAACCTTCAGAGGACTTACATTCCAAAAGCTGTCCTGCAGGACATTTGTGAGCACTGCAGGCTGTTTTGTATCATGGGAAAAACCCTAAAGGTCTCCTAGAGCCTGGTCTCTCAAGGTGAGAGCAGGTCCCCAAACCCTCTACCCTTGACCACATAGGCTGAGCTAGTAATGCTCTTTCACAATCTCATCTATAGGTCCACAGCTGACACCAGACTTGGTATGACCTGGGAGCCTCTTACCTTCCTCAACTTCCTTGAAAGGTCCCCAAGCGCCTTTGGCCTTCTCCACCATCACAATCCCACCCAATGGAGCTCTTAGAGGGTGGTGGTGAGAAGGTTTACAACTATGGTGTGAGGAAGGCCATTTACTCTGGAACTGGTCAGAAGTGAAGTCCAAAGTCTGAATGAGGCAAGGCAGGTTGGGGAACAAAAAGAGGAAAAAAGAGGTGTGTTGAGAGAAGTGCAAAAGTGGGAACTGAATGAGATAGACAAGCAGGAGAGACAGAGCCTGGAAAGGAAGCAGCAGGTTAGGCAGGCAGAGGAGAGGGAAAAGGAATAGAGAAGCTACAATAGACCAAGAAAAGAAAGATGAAGGTGGCACACAGCGAGAGGCAACAAGAAGAGAAACTGGAGGAAGCCCAGGAAGGGGCTTCTGGAGGACAGGGGACTTCTCTAGACAGAGAAGTCTAGAGACTTCTTTGTTTTCTGGTCTTGGACAACCCAAGTCCCAGCCTGTACTTCCTATGGACTCCAATTAAGTAAGGACGCATCCCGTGAAAGGGGGACTGACACAGAAACAGAGGCAAACAAATCAGGTGAAGACCAGGAAACAGACCCACAGATAAAAGAAAAAGACAGGCCACAGGACAGGGCAGACTGGGCAGTGTTTGGAGGGGAGTGAGGAGAGACAGACTGAATTGCAGAAGCTCCTGAGGCCCTTGTGGCTCTGGTCTGGAAAGGGCTGGCCTCCACAGATGCTCCTCAGGCCCTGATAAGGACATGCTACCCACCACAGGCCCTCCCAATACCACCAAAGACCATAGCTGAGCATAGGATTTTGGGGAAAGGGTCTTTGCTGACTCAGCCACAGATTGAGCTCCAGGGCCCCCATAGGATCATTAAAATTTTTCCTAGATGCACCAGAAAGAATGAAGGGGTACAGAGACAGGCAAACAGGGGCACAGGGAAAGGGCAGAGAATAAGTCTCCCTAATGGACTCTCCAATGCACAGATAGGTACTGACACATGTGGAAAGTCAGGCAGTAGACATAGATATGGTTAGACTTGACAGAGAGAGAGCTTTGCATGTGTGCATACCCACTGCCCTCTCTCTGGAATCTGAGTCCCTCCCTCTCCCCTTCTGTGAACCCTCTGAAGCCTCATTTTTATGCCTTTGTCAGATGGTCAGGGAGACCCAAGAACCAGCTCCAGCTTTGCCAATGTGAACTTCCTGAGTCAGTCCTTTTGTCTCTCTGACCTCAATATCATATTCTGTAAAATGGGTGAAGCTGAAGGTTTAGGCCACCCTCAGGTAGGACACTGGCTGTAAGTGTTTTATAACTGGTAAAGATACCTAGGGAAACAGCTCAGGAAGAGAGTAGGAGGTTACTGTGCTGATGAAAATGATGAGCCTGGAATAGTGGGTAGGGACTCCTCCAAACTCAGAAGGCCATTTCCTGGAAGCCCCTGCCCCTCTCCAAAGAAGCTATCCGGCTCTGAAGCAGTGGTAGGGGGAAGCAGTGGTAGGGGGATGGAGGCAGGGAGAGGTAACAGGAAGAAGAAACTGACAGGGCCAGGAGGAAGGTGAGGAGGTGGGACCTGATCTGATCCTCTACTACCTCAGCCACCTTCCAGGATCTGCTGCGCCCCCCACTCCCCATTGCTAGCAAGTTGGGGCCGCAGAGCAGGCCTACATTGTGCAAGAAAACAGCTTTGGGCCTCAGAACCGAGAGTGCTTCCAGAGAAGCCAAGGTCTTGCACCAGCTCTGGAAGCTAGGCTGGCTGGGGCCCAGCCCCCACTGTGCTGCCAGGGAGACTGAAAATGGGAGGGAGCAATTCCCACGGAGGGGGCAGATTGACGGCCGGGACAAGGAGGCACAGACATTAGCGGTTGGCTAACCCGCACCCGAAAGGAGCTGCCTTCTCCACACTGATGCTTAGCCGAGAGACCACCAGGTCTGATGCTATCTCCCCAAGAGCTAGGGCACAACCTCAGGGCCACGGAGCTCTGGGCAGAAGGACACAGTGAGGGCCTGTGGATTTCCACCGGTGAGCAGAGAAGCGCAGGGGCTGGTGCTCCCCATCTGTCCCCATAGTTGCTCCTTGGCTGAGCCAAGGGCTTGCCCGCCTCTCAGAGCATTTCCCCAACTGGTTTGTTTTGGGCTTCCATTGCGAGATCAGAGCCTCCCCAGAGCCAGGCTGGAGTTCGAGCCGGAAAAGGCTGTGGAGGGCACTGGGGTCACCACAGACTGGAAACCAGTTGGGCACAGGCCCCAAACCTTGAGAAATCGTTTGGACTGGAACCAGAACGGGCAGTTCCTCTGCACAGAGCTCCCCACCGCTTTGGTGGACTACTTCAGACTCAGAAAATTGACACAAAGAGAAACTGAGCTGCCCGAAGCCAGCCCTGGCTGCGTAGACAAGCTTTCCCCTGCTTGCCAGACCACTCAGCACTCGGTGGCAGACACGGACATGCTCGCCACGGGAAGCTCGCCTTCTCTCCAGCCGGGTCTCTGCTGCCTTTGTTAAATAGGGGACCTGCGACTAGGAAAGCTGGATCCCAGGCTTTGGCGCGGGGAGGGGGGGGGGGCAGGCATGGGGAGGGCTTCTAGCCCGGGAGCAACTCCCTGACCTGCAGCCCGCAGAGACCCCGAGCGGCACCCGAGCGGAGGCTGCCAAAGCCTGGCACCTTCCTCCAGCCTGGCTCTGCAGCAAACAGAAAGGAAACGCGATTCGTTCCACTTGGAATTTCCTTGAAATCTCCGAATCTAATCCGGCGTTAACTCACCGTGAGAGGAGCGCTCATCTCACAGGAGGCTGTGCTAATGGGTGAATTGGCAGGATCCCTGCGAGCCAGGGAGCCAGGCCGGCCTTGCCCTCGCCCGAAATGACCCTTCCCGTCTCCTACACACGCTGCGTCTTTCAGAGGTGGGGG